GCCGGTCATGTATTGAAGACCACCACAGTCCACCACACAATGCCGTGTTTTCAAGGAGCGACAACCAAAATATCAGGGAGCGCTACATTGGTTGGGGAGGGACTGAGCGGTGCAGTTCTGAACATGCAGGTTGTGAGTAGATCAGCAAATCCAATCAGACGTGCTTAACTAAACCCGTGACCCGTGACTGAGATTCTCCAACCTTTCCAACAACCCTGTGCTGCCTCAATCTATCTACTTGCGGTCAATCCATGCTCGCAAGTCACGAGCTGAGCGATGGGTTGCGGAGCCAAATCTGTTCCTACGTGTATATTGAGAATTGGGCCTAAATAGATCCGTTTGAAGGATGCTGATGAAATAGACAGAAATTCGTCGACCTAAGAAAACCTCACCTCAAAATCACACCAAAGCCAATCCGATTCGGGATTTAGAATGGGCTTGTCTCATACAGTCCTCATCATTGCGGACCGGTGGGGCGTGTCAGCCAGTATGAGTGTGCACACTGTTGAAGCCGTTCTCAGCCTTTTTGTTGAAACGCGTATGCGTAGAAAACGAGTAATACGAAGGATATAATACAGTAATGTCACTTGCCCGCTTCAACAACTGGTGCAGAACGACTTTGGCACCGCGCCAAACGCAGCCGCACTGACACGCCCCACCGGTCCGCAATGATGAGGACTGTACAACTTTTTTGTTCCCTATCCAAAGGCTTTGCCATGTGCAATGAAGACACCCGTAAACTAAACGCAAGGGTATCCGTGGGAACTGTTGAGGAAGTTGCACTTTGAAATTACCTTCCTTTTCTTTGCTCATTTTTCTTACAATGATCTGTATGAAGTGTACGTAATTTTGAAGAAACAAGTATTAATTTGATTTTTGTATGACACAGGAAGTTAGAAATCAGCAGGATACCGCCGCATTTTTCAGAGGAGGAAATCAGAGCTTTCCTAGTGAACTTTCTTTGAAACTGCCAATTTCAGATGTCTTTCCTTCGTAAATATTTATTGGGAGCGATAGCTGCGTGTATTCTTTGTACATTAATTATCATCTTTAATTGTTCCTGTGAATCTGGAAATCGACCGTACCATTACATGCCAAAGCCAGCAGCTCAAGGTAAGCTTTTTCTTGTCCACTGATATCCAATTGAGGCGCAGTTTGGCTTGGAAGGGAGGGGCATTTCGAACATATGCTAGTCCCTACTGAATTATTGTTTCACCTTGGTGACATCTTTAGAGTAGTTGTAGGGGAAACGAAACTCATTCCGTTGCATAGACTTACAGAAATTTATGGGTTCTTTTAAGAGGCATCGGTATGATCAACGGGGACCTGCAAAATGCTCCACCAAGCCGAACTGCGCCTTAATCGAACCTGCTCTTGCCCACTGCACACCCAGTACTGCGGACAAATGAACTTAGCTATTGATTAGGCGTCTGTCCAGTCAACAACTGTTCTACACACGAAGTGCGATCTGATGTCTTCTCAGCTGTTTTTTGTAGCCTCGTCGACTGATACTCAAGCTGCCCTTCCGGAGACTTTTCTTTTGATCGCCATAATGTCCTCCCCAAATGAAAGTGAGGTTAGGACGGTTATCAGAAACACATGGTTACGACTGTCACAGAAAGGTCCGACGGTGGTCCAGCACCGCTTTTCGATAGGAACGAAGGGTCTGAGGTAAGGTTCGTTGCACTTTTCCAATTCACTAGTTTTTATTTGACAGTTGTGCATTACTTCTTACCGCCTTGCGCCGCTCACAATTGTTCCTCGTCGTGCGCAAATCGTGCGGGGTTTACATACAACTTGCATGAATCCTTATTATCGCGTCAGTCTTCTGTTTTTCTCGGCCTTCACCCACTCCAGGGTTCCCTTCATCGAAAAATTCCGCGCCTTGGCTCGCCACAATTTTTTTTTGCACTTTTCGAGGCTTTCGCAGCTACTGACCTCTATGTGTACAGCGTTTCTCTACTGCATCGATTTCTCTACTGGACCACGCGAGAAAGTTAAAGTTGTCCCGTAACATACGGAACTTCGGAAATTGCCATGCAGTTTGGTCGCGCGCGGCGGACTGCAGCTTTGCGCGGCTGGGGGCATGAGTGAATTTTATCTCATTTCTCTTATAACCTGCTTCTAGTGAGGCAATGCGACTACAGCTAGAGGAGGAGCAAAAAGCTCATGGAGATCTTGCAGTAATAGAAAACTTGGAGGAAACGTACTCGAATTTGGCTCTCAAGACGCTAAGGACGAT